TCAAATCTTTAATTGGGATAAAAATGAAATGTGTTGTCTACTCTGAGGTCCATTAGGGAGGTTCTGATGGTACCTTTGGATCCACACAGAGCCATGATCAGTGGACTGTTGCTTTTGTCCAGTTCTCTCAAACACGCACTGCCAGCGTGATCTCTGATAACGGACAGCTCCTTCAGGATTAATGCCTGGTTTGAATACAGATATAAAATAAAAATTAAAAATAAACTTTCTAGCAATAAATATTAAATTAAATAAATGAATAATTTATAAAAAATAATAAAACGCACTCGCTAAAACGAAACGTCCGATGAGGTTTCACACGCGCCTGGAACAGAACACAAGAGACTTGTATAGAAAGTTCATGAATTGATTTGACCGATTCACAAGCTCTTGATTCATCTTGATTCCGATTTCAATTCATTTGGATATCGATAAGTTACAGTACATGTCAATGTACTATTTTCTCAATTTATATAGTAGATCATACAGGGAACTTTTTAAGATATAATAATCAGCACTCAAATAAAAATTTCTATTCAAACATTTAAATCACACATAGTTTTTAATGATATAATAATTTCTACCAGTTTTATTTTATCAAGATACTATTAAAGTGTTTTTTTATGGTTTTAATTAGTCTATTTTTTTCATTTTCATTTTAGTTGAAGTTTTAGTAATTTTGTTATGCATTTTTGTCATTTTTAATAGTCATTTATTAGTTATTTTAAGTCTATATAGTCTATAGTTCATTATTTGGATTTCAGTTTTAGTTTTAGTTATTTTAAATACCTAAAGTTAACTAAATGAAAATGACAAATGTTTCCTTGGCAACTAGCTGAAATTAAATAAGTTAATTGTTTATATATATTTTAGTTTAATATCAGTTTTATGGTTTATTTTTAGTTAACTACAACAACCCTTGTTTCTACTCCAATTTGTTGTTGAAATATAAATATTTAAATGGTGATTCATAAAAACTTTCTTTAGTCACAGATTTATTCAAATATACATTAAATAATGAAGACATCACTAACAGGTTAAGCAAAAATATAATGAATATGTAATGCAGAGCGTATATTGATCAAAATGCTCCTCTCTAGAGTAAATTTTTCTAGCCAACTAACCACTTAAATATGCACCTTATAACATATTTATTAGAATTTTTTTTTTTACTGTTCTTCAATATTTAATTTATGTTTGAAATCTTCCGTCAAGTTTTTGTGACAGCCACCATTTAAATGTTTATATATTTTTTTAAAAACTAATTGGAGTATAAATATAATTATGTACTTTAAAGTTAAAATTAGCATTATAGCTTTAATATTACAAAAGCTTTATTGAGTATATTTAAAGTGTTTATACAAATCAGCAAATTTAAACTTTCCATATTATTGACTCTCAGGTATATTTTAGAGCATTAGTTGAGAGATTTTTTTTCCTTGAGAAAATCTGCCATGTCCTGTACCTGATATATATCCAAAATAATCGACATTGAATTGAATCGAATCGTAAGCTTGTGAAGGATAATCGAATCGAATTATACCAATTATACCATCAAGTATTTTTGAGCTACATTGAAGTGCATCACTATTTTAATTTGTGATCCATTTTGGAGCTTGACAACCCTCGGGGGTCATTGTTTGGAAAAGAGCAGCATGAGCATTCTGCTAAACGTCTGCTTTTGTGTTCCACTTAAGAAAATTAAATAAAATCTGGTTTGCAGTGACATGAGGGAGAGTAAATGATGAGATAATCTGCATTTTTGGATTGTTTTTGAGCAAAGAGTAAAAGGGGAGGATAGAGAAGTGTGTATTTGACCTCTTCATCTGCATGTGTCTCTGCTGAATAAAATTTGCTCCCGGATGAACGTCAGGGCCGTTACGCACCAGTTTCCTCATCAGCTCAATGTTGGCTTTATTCACCTGAGAGAAAACACACACCCACTTCATTACATTATATATTTGGCAAAATTTGGATGATTATATCAAAAGTATAATTAATAAATACATTTTTATTCTATGTCTTAAATTTTAACAGTAAACCTCTAATGGTGCAGCACCATGTTTGCCAAAAAAATAAAATGAACTGTTAAATTTCCATTTGATTACATTTTAAAAGATTAATTAAATTGTTAATATTTTATGCCTTCATTTGATTACCACCATTTGTGATGATAAATTTGTACTAAATCATATCCAGAAAAATTAAAACAAATGACAACAGAATTTCTGAAAAATAAAACATTTCATAAGGGCCTATTATTGAATAAATACTTAAATAAGTAAAAAATAAATTAAAATGATAACGTTTTATAAATTAAATTAAATATTTTTTTAAACAATCACAATTGAATTAAACCATGAATTATTCAAAATCCAGAAAAATGAAAACAGATGACAATAGAGACAATTTCATAATTTCATGTTAAATAAATAAATAAAGATTTATAAATTCAACTGAACAATATTTTTATTTAAACCCATTAATGAAAAAATTAATTATACAAAAAAAAAAAAATGCAAATGCAAAACACAGAACTTGGGAAAAATAAAATAAAATTTGGGAAAAAATAAAACATTTACTTAAAAATTTTATTTTTGTTAAACTTTTAATAAATAGCGTTAGACTATGTATATGTTTCATGAGCTCAATTAACTAGACATGCTTTTTGATTATTAAATTTTAGGTAACACTTTACAATAAGGTTCCATTAGTTAATGTTAGTTAATGTATTAACTAACATAAACAAACAATGAACAATAAATTTATTACAGTATGTATTAATCTTTGTTAATGTTAGTTAATGAAAATACAGTCGTTCATTGTTAGTTCATGTTAATTCACTGTGCATTAACTAATGTTAACACAACTTTTGATTTTAATAATGCATTAGTAAATGCTGAAATTAGCATAAGATTAATAAATGCTGTAGAAGTATTGTTCATTCTCACACTAAACTAATAAACCTTATTGTAAAGTGTTACCAAATTAAATTTTACTGCAATCCAGAAGAATTAAAAAGGAAAAACTGAATTTGAGAAAAATCAGAACAGATTGTATAGGGCCCACAAAGTAAGCATTATTTAGCCAGCTGTTTGACTAGTGAAAATAAGTAGCACTTTTGAGCAGTAGCGCTGCTCTGACCTTCTCTGGGTAGGTGAGGATTTTGGCGACGTGCACCGGTACAGCGACCTCATCGATCCTCAGGTTCGGGTCGGGAGAGATGACCGTTCTGCCTGAGAAATCCACTCTCTTTCCAGACAGGTTACCACGAAACCGCCCTGAAAGCAGCAAAACAAGGCAGGTTGATGTGACACATCGATCCAGGAGGCGTTCAATGTCAGAACAGCCCAATATAGCGCTGCCATCTCTGCAGAGACTCGTGGGAAAAGCTGGCGCAGCCCTTGAGCTCTCAGCAGGTCGTACCCTGTTTTCCCTTGAGTCTTTGCATGAAGCCGCGGGTCCATTTCTTGGGTGCCATATTGAGCGGGATGCCCGACAGCTCGCTGTTGATGTAGAGAGCGCACTGGAGCTGCAGGAAGTCCCAGTCCTCCATGATCATCTGGGTTTTGGCTCCTGACATGCGGTGCTGTAGGCAAACACAAAGACAATTACGCCACATTTACAAATGTATTGACACATGCATGCAGTGAGGAACAAATTACCCTATAAAGAAAGCTACGGTATCATATTTGATACACACATTTGTATGGTCTCTAAATGATCAAAACTTTGCTGTTAATCCATGCCTTCTGTCGTCTGATTGATAATTTAGACTTTTTTTTAATCCAGTCAAAGCTCTTTTAGTGTAATTTAATTTAGTGAAGCTTTACTTTCACTGTTCCTCAGCGGAGGAATGATCTTCACAAGCCTCCAGAACATCTCACATCTTCTGAGGAGCCTTTATTTCTAAATCTCTCAATCAGCATTGCATTGCATTATATGTTTGGATCATTTCAATCTCATTTTACTGAGACAGATTATTAGAGATATAGAGCGATGACTGATATTTATAGCATTTTATGTCAGTATCTGCTCTACTGTTATAAAGATCTCATTGATTTACATCACAAGCATCAGAATTTCATATAAATATCAGCATCTGCACCAAATTGTATATTGTATATTGCATATTTTTCCTCCATATTCTCACTGTATCAGACTATACGAGCCAGAAAAGCCTGATGGATCAAATATGATACAAAACATAAAACACATTTGCTAACTTTTTTAGATTTGTAAAAAATATTTTGTCTAAAGGTTGAACAAACTGTTCAATAAAAAAAATAAATAAATAAATAAAAAAAAAAAAATATATATATATACATTATTTAATCTGTCAGGCTTTACAGGGTTAATAACCCCCTGATTGGTCAAACTTGCCACAGGCCGGTCAAATATTTGCATATAATGACAATCCAAATTTCCTTGGTCTTCTATTGCTCTGCGGCTTCTCGTTTATTACAAGTTAGAACAACTCACTGATGCCATCATGTGACTAATAAGATAATCATAAGATAAGATTAATCAAATGTAATTATCTTTCTACTAAATGACTAAATCTAAATGTAAAATAATTGTTAGTTGCAACCTGGATTGCTGAACTTTACAGCTCGTTTTCCTCTGCTGTTTGGCATCTCAAACAAACCTGATCATGTGACCTGCGTACCTTCTTGATAACATCATTGAGGAAGATGATCTCCGTTAACTTCATGGTCAGATCATCCTCATTGGTGCCTGACTTGAGGTCGCTGACGACGGAGGGCCGGATGCAGAGGGGCGGCACTAACAGGCATGTCAGGATGTCAGTGGGTTTCCCGGATTCAGGATTCATCAGCAGAAGAGGAACGTCCTCGTTCGGAATCCTCCGGAAAAGATTCAACACGACCAGAGGATTGAGGTTTTCCTGGATGACGAGGAACAAGATTATTATATCAGATAAAACAATACTGCTGGCAAAATTTCATAGAAACCACTATTTTAAGCTTGACTAGTTCACAAGCAGTGCTCTGATTGGTGGATCTTAACCTGTGCTCTGGTCAGTAGTGACTCCACTTCTTTATTGTGCTCGATGGTGATATCAAACGACTGGAGGAAATCTGACACCATGGGATCGACGACCTTCTTTGTGGTCTTGTACTTCTCATGAATGATCTTCAGCAAGCCACATTTCTTCACAGGGCCTGAAGAGACATCAGGCACTTACTAATTCAAGCTACTGCAAAATTGCATCACACTATAATAAATAATCAATGCAGAAGAGTACAGTACGCTTTTACCGTTAAATGCGTTGCAATGCACACAGGTGGTCTTCTTCCTGCATTTGTCTGAGATCTTCTTCTTGAGGCCGCGCTTCTGCAGGTACGCCAGTCCAGGTCTACGCAAGTAATCCAGAAACTGAAGCTTTTCCTCTTTGCTGAGAAGGATGTGAGAACACGTCTTACAGATCATCTGAATGAACAAAAATAATCAATAACATAAAATAATACAAAAACTTTATTTCAAGAACACTACTAATAGTATACTACCACAAATCATTTATTATATTTATATTATAAGGTTTTATGTGGCATTACAATAAAATGCTATTACAAGAATACAACAGCAATATGAAAGAATATGATAAAAATATAGTAGTTTTATTATGATTTATATAGTATTATATTTATATTATTATAAATGAATAATATAAAATAACACAATATAATACAACGTAATATCATACAATACATAATAACAATTTGATAAAAGTAATATATTTACATTCTTATATTTATATAGTATTATTATTATCTAGTTTTTATGGCATTTAATATAAAACGAAACACAATATAAAGCATAATAATCTAATTTATAAAAAAATTATATTTATATATATTAATATTAAATTTACATTATGATTCATATTGTATTACATATTATTATTTGCATTTCTAGTTATTAAATAATTTTATATTATTCATACATTATGTTTATATTAATTTACGTCAATAAAATACAGTAAATTATATAAATCCTAATATTATAAATATATAATATGGAAATAAATCCTAATATTATAAACGTATAATATGGAAATAAATCCTAATATTATAAACGTATAATATGGAAATAAATCCTAATATTATAAACGTATAATATGGAAATAAAATCCTAATATTATAAATATATAATATGGAAATAAATCCTAATATTATTAATATATAATATGGAAATAAATCCTAATATTATAAATATAAATATATAATAGAGAAATAATATAGCATTTTAACATAAAACAAAAATCTGGATGGGGCCATTTATTTCAATACAAATGCTATAATGAATCTGACAGCAACTCGGAAGCAAAACACGGTTCTGACACATTCTGTACTTGCCTGCAGGATCCCAATAATGGCTTTGAAGTATCCGACATGAAAGCAGGGCAGCTCCAGGTCCAGATAGCCGTAGTGACCGAGACAGTCGGCCAGGTTCTTCCCGCAGGTTTCACACGGTCTGTCCTTCTCGCTGGTTCCCTGAACACCAGAGAGATGATTAGGCCTCTTTTAATCACTTAACAAGTCATTTTCTGTTTTATTATGAATGTAACGTTCATATTTGCTCAGTCACCATGCGGTGGTCCAGGACTCCATACTGCAGCGGTGTGTGGCTGGTGTCTTGGCTGTACAGGTTCTTGGTGACCACCTGAATATGAGCCTGTTGTCTCATCTGCTCTGCTGACTTCATGCCAAAACAGATGTGACTTCTGATCAAACAAGAGAAACAGACATCAACAGAGCGTTTACATGCATAAACATATAATCATATACACATGCACAGTCAGAGAGACAGACACAGACTAGCATATTCGTGCGTCAAGTTCTGATGAAACATGTTTACCCTGCATGCAAGACTCCAACTTACATCTTTTTGGCCACATTCGTCTCTCTAAACTGCTCCTTCACCATGACCGCGACGCGTTCACGCAGTCAGCGTGGAATTACAGTGAAATAAATATATATATAGTAATAAATGCGTAAACTGAAGTGTTTGATGAAGGTCTGATCCTCATGATGCCACATGCAGCACTTTACATTTAAAAAAAACATTCAAAAAATGGATATTTCTGGATATAAACATCACTAACATGTAAATTAGTATATTTATATACTTTTTGGAGCTTAACTGTGTGTTTTTAATGGAACAGTCAGTGTCACTTTTAGAAACAACCAGTAGATGTCACCGCTTTCTTATAAATACCTTAGCTATTTATAACAGTGACAGATTCAGGTAAAAAATAAAATAAAAATACAATATAAACATATTTTCACATACACACATCAATTTTAATAATTAAAAGCCCCTTATAATGTAAAAGAAATATGATGGCGCGAGACTAGGGTTCTCAGAGTAATTTACGTTATTGATTATGACAGAAAAACGTTTGAATCATTATTTTCAATGAGATTTATGAGCACAGGAATGCCAAGCAGGTGTTAATTAGCAATATTAGCTCTGTTTGACACTAATGAACCGCTGCAGCTTGAAAATCTGATGCTAAATTAACAAGCGCTTTCAAGCGTTCAAGACGTCCCAATATCGAGAGTAAATGCCCAGATTATGTTTATAATTCACTCTAATAATGTGCACAGAGGGTTAAATTTACTTAACAATAAGCAGACACATTAATTTAATTGATTTTCCTGTCATAATAACACATCACTTACCTGCTGTGTGGCTGAATATAGTAGCCTGGCAGATCACGAATATCAAACTCCAATGTTTTGTAATGTAGTTTTTTGTAATGGCCGGATTAACGTTCAGTTTGCCGCCAAAAGTAACGGTTAATCGCTCGTCAAGTAGTGATGGAAGAAACGAACCTTTTCGAAGCTTCGAATCAATTGAACCAATTCCAAAATGATTCACTGTTTCGAAGCGATTATGTATTACAGTTTTTCTGAATTGCTAAAACACATTTCTTGAAACCATCACTCATTTTCTAAAAACCTTAAACACAAATCCACATACTCAAACTAAATTTACGAAACCTCTGACTCTTCTATCAAAATCAAACAATCACTGCAAAACCATTTTACTTGCACTCTAAATCAAACGGTGCTCTCAGATCACACACACACACACACACACACACGAGTCAATACAATAAACACTACAGAGCATTCATTAGACACTACAGAGAAAAATGGAGAACACAGCATCCAGAACATTACAGAAAAAAAGTATAGGCCTATTGTATTGAGTAAATTTTGCAATTCTGTAAAAAAGTATAGTAATTGCAGCTGAGTAAGGTGAATATATTGTATAGTATGTACTGCAAGAATAGTATTGTGCTGAATATTGAATAGCACTGAATGTTTGTATATATTCAGCACTTGGATACTGCAAAAATACTGTAAGTTGTGCAAGTGTAAAATCAGGGTCAATGAGAGACTCATTCTGTCTCAGCATCATGTCTTTGTGCTTGAGTCCGGCCTGAGGACTTTGTCCACATCACAAGTAATGTAGTCTTTTTTGCTATAAAAAACACTCTGGTCTGACAGATCCAGCCTTGATAATACTCTTTAGAAACAAGTGTGAACAATTTTGAATCGTTGTGTGTAAACGATGACAACTGTGCTTTAGTTGTGTTTAGCATTTTGCAGCACAAATGCATCACAGTGTGATAAGTGTTTGAGTGAATGAGAATGTGTTTAGAGTTTTGCAAATAGAGCCTTAACTGCCGTGTTTAAGGTTTAGCAGAAAGAGTGCTTTATTCAACAAATTGGTTTAAGCTAGTGAGAATTTGGTTCAGAGATTGGGGTTTAGTGTTTTAGCAATTCAGAAAAACTGTAAATCATACATCCAGATAAAATTAAATCCAGGCAACACAGAATTATTTAAATAAATAAATAAATATCATTTCATAGGGCCCTATTATTGTACAAATAAATAAATAATAATAAATAGTTGTTACATTTGATAAGTTTGATCATTTAAATTAATTAGGTGTGCTTTTTGATTACTGCAATTTAATTTAACCGTTAAAACAGAGTCCAGAAAAATCAAAACAGAAAAAAAAAACTGGAATCCAGAAAAATTAATTGGGAAGTTCTGAGAGTACTAACTGCAGTAAGCATGCTTAATCACAGTTATAATTATGAGGGGGTCCTTGGAAAATTTTCTCTGCTGTGAGGGGTCCAAAAAGGTTTGAGAAAGTTTGTGGTTTGTTTTGCAGGGAATAGCCTACCAACCCTTACCAAATCATTATAATTTTTATGAAGATAATAGCTTGACAGTGTTAACAAAATAAAGTTAAATAGAAAATTATAATAAAAGAAAAGAAAAATCTGACTGTTATTTAAAACATTATTACAAATTTGCATTTGCATGCATTTGGCAGGTGCACTGTAAAAAATAAGTGTAATTTTAACTGTAAAATTTTGTAAAAACGCTACGAAAAAAAAATGTTAATAGGTTAACAGTAAGTTCCCGTACTATATACAGGGAAAAACTGTAAAATATCTAACCAGATATTTCATGTAATTTTACAGTAAAATGCTGTTAATTTTACAGTTTTTAGAAGTAAAAATAACAAATCAATGTATAATTTACAGTCAAAAACTGTAAACTGATATTCCCAGAATTCCCTGCATGATACTCCACATTTGAAAGTATTTTGTTTAAATAATCATGTTTTTTTTATAGTTTTTGTTATTAGTTATGTATATTTGGGCTTTGTTACATCTTCTGTTGTTTAATGAAAGTTGAATGCATTATTTAAGTATCATGTGTGTTACCATGCTGGTGTTTTGTGTTTGAATGACTCTGTGCACCTTCTATATATTAATATATACTTCTGCTTGTGGCGAAGCTATTTGTGATGAGCTTTGATTCTTCATGTGGCTCTCTCTTTTACCACCTTCATTATTTCGGTGGTTGTCAGTATGTTAAAGGTACAAAACAGATTTTAATAGCAGTGTGCATTGTTGAATTTACTGGTTTACATTCAAATTTTCTTGTTTGTAAATTACTGTTTTATACTGTAAAATTTACAGTTTTTGGCTGTAAATGTGTTTACAGTTTTTCTGTATTTTTTACAAAATTATTCTGGCAACCACAGCTGCCAAAATTATTTTGTAAAAACTACAGAATTTTTTTTACAGTGGGTGCTTTTATCCAAAATTACTTACATTTAAGGTACACATTTTTCTTGCTTTCCCTGGGAATCGAACCCACGACCTTGGTGTTTCTAGCACCATGCTCTACTGTTTGAGCTTCAGGGATAAATATATAGTTTATTGAAGTAATTAATATATTAATTCCTCATTGATAAATTATTCGTGTTCAGCCTGACTCCATGAATCTGTTAAACAATTCACGTGCAGAGGCTTTTAAAAACCTTTTAAAATGTCCTGGAAAGACTCTGTCTCTGTATTACAGCAGTGTTAATGGCTGAATGATGCAGACAGATGAAGCAGACAGCTAATGGGATCCAGCACAGAGACTAAGAGATTCAATTTCAGTCTCTGTGAACGTGAAATGATTTATTCATCTGTAGTTTGTTTATGGCATCTGTTGAGATTAAGGAAGCTTTAGTGACGTTAACGGCTGACTTACAGGATGCAGAGTCTCATTAATGTGCTTTTATCCACTATCATCGTGTAATGATTTACTGTAAATGCATTTTAAACTGTACATGACACTGGGTATCGTAGATTTTACTGCAGTGAATATTGCTTTGGTTGTGCTGATTTTTGAAAGCCTTTGGGTTTGATCTTTGTTCAAATCTATTTTGTAGAAGACATGATGAATAAATGAAGTGTGTGTTGAGAGCATGTGCATAAAGTGGCACTGTATGTGGGGGATGTGTGGATAGGATAATGCACACGTGTGTGTGTGTGTGTGTGTGTGTGT